TGCGCCGCTGGCGGCGGGGTTGCGCTTCTGGCTGACGCTGGGGAGCCGGGTGGGGGGACGGGAGAGGGGATTTACATTAGCGGGTCTTCGCGCTGCCGGTAGTTATGAGGAGCCCCTCCCCGTCGAACAGCTGCTTTTCTGCCACCTGTGCTCCCGGGCTCAGGACTCATTTCTTCGTTCTATTTGGTAAAACCAAGCAGTGTCAGTCTAAAGCTGTGCTGCCGGGTTTTTGGGGGGGGTTGATTTTTTTTTGTTTGGGTTTTTTTTTTAATTTTTTTTTTCTGTTTTAATCTCAAGATAATGTTTTTGAGGGTGCTTTGGAGCTGAAAGCCACCAAAGGATCTGTGTGGTCCGGGATGTCTCAAGAAGAAATGCGAAGGCTTAGCTATGCGCGTCTTCATTTAAGACACATCTGCAGTACAGTGATCAATTTTGGATAGCTCAGGGGAGAAGGAATTCTAAATATTTAAATATAAAAGCAGAAAACATTGCCTTCCTTCTGATGAACCTGCATGCGCTTTGAGAAAATGACTTCACTTTTTGTCAAAAATAAGTGTTCTGGACCTGATTTTCCCCTGCCTGGCCATGTGCGAGCACTGACAGCTGTGTAAAGTTTGGTCATTCCGATTTGGTGTCAGTTTACGTCCCATCTCACACAATCTTCCGTATTTCCCCAAGGCGTGTTGTGGAGACAGACTGGAGAGCCTGAGTCTCAAAGGAGGTCTCTTCTGAGGCGGTGCTTTAGCAAGCATTAGTCTGTGGTTGTGGTAGGGAGAGACCCTCTGCTGCCCCATGTGTTAGGTTGGCTTGTGTAGGTGCACAGTGAATGGGAAACTGATTCAGTTAAAACCCCCCTAATTTACAGATTTTTGTTTGTGGCCATACTGATACGTGACTAAGAACACTCCTTGTGCACTGTGTAACTTTGGCAGTGGGCTGCATGACTGAAGATTTAGTAAAATGATGAAAGAAAGTATTGTAGCACATACATACAGGATGCAGAAGTGTTTAGCATCAAAGTCCTGGTTTGATTCAGCAACCGTGTGTACTTCCGAATGTTAAAAAATAATACACATTTTTCTTTTACTAGCCTGCGGTTGATGCAAAATGAGTGTTCCTGACTACATGCAGTGTGCTGAGGATCATCAGACTCTCCTGGTTGTGGTTCAGCCGATTGGCATTGTACCCGAAGAGAGCTTTTTCAGGATCTACAAGCGAATTTCAGCAGTGAGTCAAGTTAACGTGCGTGACTCTCAGCGTGTGTTGTATATCCGTTATAGGCACCATTATCCCCCAGAGAACAATGAATGGGGGGATTTTCAGACACACCGCAAAGTTGTGGGGCTGATAACTATTACGGACTGTTCTTCTGCGAAGGACTGGCCTCAGACTTTTGAAAAATTCCATCTTCAAAAGGAAATGTATGGTTCTACTCTCTATGATTCCCGGTTGTTTGTCTTTGGGCTTCAAGGAGAGATTGCAGAGCAGCCCCGCACAGACGTGGCGTTTTATCCTAGTTACGATGAATGTGAAACTGTGGAGAAGAGAATAGAAGATTTTATCGAATCCCTCTTCATAGTGTTGGAGTCTAAGCGGCTTGACAGAGCTACTGATAAGTCTGGAGACAAGATCCCGCTCCTCTGTGTTCCTTTTGAGAAGAAGGATTTTGTAGGTCTCGACACAGATAGTAGGTAAGCAGCTATTTTTGTCAGCTCGCAGGTCTTGGAAAAACGTATGTGGCAATTGCTTGCCTTTAGAATAAGCCTATTAGAAAGGACAAAGCATACTTTGTTACAACAGGGGTCATGCCCCTATCTTATTGTGTAGTCTGCTGTAATTTAAGAGAATTTAATTTGTAGTCTGACCATATTTGATGTTTTGAGGTTTTTTTTATATATATATATATGTTTAATTTATGAGGCTAATCAAATAGTAGGAAGAAGTCACAGGAGAGGTTTGACAGATTCTGCTATAAAGGGACTTTTTGCTGGAAAGCTTCAAACTGTTTATAGATATGCAGTATTAATAAAGAAATTCAATTAGCATCAACAAAAAGTAATTTTGTTCTATGTTGAGTAGTATTTGACTAATCCTATTTACTGTGGGTTTTTCTTTTTCCGAAGCCTCTGTCTACTTTTTCATCCTATGAAATAGTGACCGTTTATATTGGTGACTAAGTTCAGCGTCTTTCCGTGTCTTTCATTTTTATTTAATTATTGATATTCCTGACCAGTCTTGTTCTGCTACCATTCTTCTCACAACTGTTCTCTTTGGTTTTGTGTATGTTAGTTTTGGGTCGTGTGTCGTGTCCCCCCGCCCCCAAATCACGTCTTTTCATTTGCATGCTCAGCTTTGATTTGAGTGTTACATAGTTTTCGTATTAGGGATTAGTAATTCTGGCCTGCTAGCTACAGGCAGGTGCAAAATGTGTTCGACTCCACTGTTCGCAGTCAAATGCAAAGGACAGAAGCAACCATCTTCCTTTTGTCTTGGAAAAGATAGAGGTGTGGAAGCCCTATCAAAATACATAGGATGCACGGGAATGGTGTCTTTCACGTCTGTCATGTACTACTAGGGATGCCGGTAATGGTTATTGTGTGTAAAAGCTCAGAGGTATCCAGGCTGGGTTGTCCAGAGCTGTCCAGGCCGGTTTGCGAAGCCTTCTGATCGTGTTAATCAGCTCTGCCTGCATAATTAGTCCTAGCCTTAGAATCCCTGTATAAGAATGTGATATAGTGGAAGAAAGCATTCTAAGTTTCTAATTAGTTTGAAGCCCTCCATTAAATTATCTCTGGTTGCTTGAAGGGCCAACAGTACCTTTCTCCCCTGCTCCTGGTCCTCTTTGCTGGTGAACAGAGCAAGTTGAACTTGCTCTGACTTGCTTATCCAATGTTGTTCCTTATTCGAGCTACTCTTCCAGTGTTGTGGTTAATCCCCGTACTATTCAACTTTCATTAGTGATATAAATTACTATGTTATTGTTTTTTGTACTCTGCATGGGTGGTAAAGTTTTGTAGATGAGATGAGCCCTTTTTAGAATCTCAGCTTTAATTACTCAGTTTGGATGAATTTTAGTTGAATGTAATCACTAACACTTCCTGTTCCTAAGGAACTTAGCTACCTTTCCTGTAGCTAAGAAAACTATGGGTTTTGGCCAAGAATCTCAAAATCAGAATTAATTATGCTGTTCAATTGTGTCATCTAAATAGCATGTTTCCAAATTGTACTTTGGAAGTCAGTTCCTTACATAAATTAATTACTTATGAGCGGTGGCTGTGTTGTAGCTGGTGGCTAAATATTTCCCGTGAAGTTGTGAACTGGTGGGGAGCTCAAATAACAGGTAGTAAGTTTGTCCACACACATCCAAGAAGATATTTTATGCAGTTGCACTGAAGAGTTGAAACAGATTTAGTGTGGTGCTTGAATTCTTTGCATAATGGAAGGTGTATGACCCTAGTTCTGTAAACATATGGGTTTATACAGAGTTAATCACTGGTTCAGATATGCATACAACCTTGCTGGGTGGTCTGAATACCAAATAGACTCTTTCAGTAAGACTAGATCAATGGATATACTTTAAATGTTGGCTGCACTTAACTGCTCAAAGAAAAGGTGTTAAATATTCGAATCTTTCCTCTTTCAGTTCAATAGTAAGAAAATTTTTCAGCTTTATTTTGCTGTGGAGTTAGTACTTCTGATTGTTTTAAAACTTAGGACTTATATATGAATAGCATAAGCAAGCTGAATTAAAAGATCTTTATATTCTGTTTAGTATTTTGCATGGCTGAGTAAGGAAATACTCTAAATGCCTGGACTTATTTCTATATATTTGAGTTTCGTAACAGAAAGGAGAAATTCATGTAATCCCAAGTAAACATCAGAAAAAAAGGAGTTGATTGAGTTAGAAATACATGTGCGTAGTGTACCTGAGCTTCTCTGCACAGGCACCTTTCATGTAGCATGACGTATCTTTGCTTCTGTGTTCTACGTAGCAGAAATTCAGGACCATGAAATATCATTGAACTAAGATCAGTTTATTAAACTAACCTACACTTTCAAACCTAAATCTTTAGATGTGAAATAGTAGTATATTGTGTTTTATTACTTTGGTTGCAATAAAAGGTTTTTATTGTAGCATGTTCTCTTTTGCAGTGGCAGATTCCCTAATTAAGGGGAAAGCATTGCATTAAGTCATAACAGGGACGTACAGGGCTATAAAGGACCTTTTTCAACCAAGTCCGGTTTCTGTTTTTGTAAGATGCGATGTTGTATAATTCTGTTTAGGGAGGAGTAAAGGTTGTGTGAATGCAGGGAGTGCCTGTGAGAACATCTGGTAGAGTAACTTTTGCTACTTTGTTGGTTTTGAGTCTGTTGGCATAATGAGTTTAAAGAATGAAATAAAAAAAATGATGATGTTATTGAGATACTGAGGCAAATGAAACAGCTTTTTCTAGAATAGGTGGAAATTTCTAAAGGGTTAAAGGCCAAGAATGTCCCCTTACTCTTTTTTTATATACCCTCTGTCCCTTTTTTAAAATTTTTTGTATATATTGTATCCTGACCTCCCAGTCAGTGTGCAACTAACTAGTTTAAAAGCACAAATTCTATATTAAATAGATGGAAGAGAAGGCACACTCTCTGTGCGTGTAACAGAGAGTATATGTCTTGGCTGCTGGAGTTGCAGATGTCTGCTTAGGCTAAATAAGCGTATCTTTTCCTGTAACTTTGAAAATTGAAGTTAAATTTCAGTGTGTAGCAAAGGTCTCATTAGATGTAGAGTGCAGCTGTAACCTTGAGCTAATGAACTGAGTTGATACATTGAGTGAAAATATGTTAAGAAGTTACATGGGACATAGTAATTATGATCACGTGACTTAAAGACTAATTAAAACTACTGAACTTTTTTTGTGTCTTAAAAGAGAGTTTTCTCCAAGCAATTTATTGTAAAATATTAAGGTTAATACTTAGGATGATCAGGATTCTCTCTCACCCAGTTAGTAAGCCTAGCATTAACTTGGTTGCATAATAATTGCAACGTGATTGGATTCTTTCAAGATGCAGGGTTCATAAATTAGGAAGATGGATTATTATGCTGCATTTCAAATAAGATAGTTCTCTGAAAAAGGGGGGCTGATCTCTGTCTTTTGCAAGTTGCTTGTATAATGAGCAGAGGAGATGACATTCCCAGGACTTGTACTGAGATGACAATATATGCAAAACCACTATATTATTTGTGTAGAAGAATTTTTTTTGGCTGGTAGAAAACTTTATGTAGTTAGTGGGAAATAGTGGGATTAAGTCCTAAGAAGTTTTGAAGAAAGATTGTCCTGTTAAGTAGGACTGTGGACTGTGAGTCTGATCATCTATCAGCCAATAGATGATCTTGGCAAATCTGTTAATTTTTCTTTCTGTTTCTTCACCTGTAAATTAGGTGAAATATTTATGTGGTCACAGGGCTGCTGAGGATAGTTGAAAAAGTTTCTGAAATCAGTTGCACTTGATAGTTATTTGTAGAGGCCGGGAGACTGATTGAAAAGAAGGGAAATGAATGTTCTCATGATGATACAAAGGTCCTACAAATTTGAAACTAGGAAACATACTTGCCAGAAATACCAGAAATCCTGTTTGTTTAATTTTTCTATTTTATTTCTGTTTTCAGCTAAAAAAAATAAACATACTCATGTATGATTATAAATCTGCTTGGATAAACTCATTTTAATGTTGTTCACATCAGTTTGTGTCTTAGGTTCTTTCTTTTTTAATACTGGTAAGGCATCCATTTAATACTATTGAGCGATGAGAAAGTAGGGCTCTATTTATAGATGTGTCTTTCTCTACACAGTATCATAGATGGGATTTGTTCACTGATTTATCAAGGTTTATGATATCTCAGTTTATGTATGTGGCTGTTAATTTTCTTTCTGTTCTCTGTCTTTCTAATTTTTTTGTTCCTTTTTTTTTTTCCTTCTTCTCTCATACTGCCCTGTGAGTTTGTTGTTGGGTCTAAAAAGGTAGGCTGTGATTGCATATATTTAAAAATAGTTAGCTTTCTTCCATGTACTGCCTTTCCACCCCGCCTTCATTGCATATTTTAGTGTTGCTTTTTATATTTATTTTTCAGTACACACAAAAATTGCTGCCTGGAGCCTTACTACTGTGGTGGACACCTTTTGGCGCATTTGGCAATTGTATTTGGTAGCAATGCTGAATTTTTTTGTAGGACACACATAATTTGCTTAGGTGGCTGTTGGCCTCTGGAATTTGCTTTATTTTTTAAACTCCAAAGCCATGAAGCTGTTGCTGCCTGTGTTTGGTTTCCAAATTCAAAAGTTCTGGCAGTTGATCAAACGCCGTAGCTGTGTCTTTTAAGTCTGAATAATGTTATGATTGGTGATATCTATAGTTCTGCATGCTAATTTGAATTAGCGGAATTTGATGGAAATTTTTGTTGAAGCATTTTGCATGAATACTTTTGCAAATTCATTTTGCATGTTTCTTGTTTTTAAATTTAGCCACTTTGAAATTTTGAGGATCCAGAAATTCCTTCAAACCTGTTGCTGGATGGTTTGTAGTGAAAATAAATTCTGTCCTGAAATATAATATTGTTGCTCTGAATTTTCTGTAAAATTATCCTGGGATCCTAGAAAGGAGTTGGGGATGAAGGGGTAAAGCATGTATCCTATGTAGCAAA